ATTTTTATCAATAATTAGGTTGTTTCTTCTTCCATGAAATGAGACGGGGGCTACACAAACCTGTTCGCCCAAAAACTCTCGTATTCTGAAGGCATATGCCCCACAGTAGAAAATTCTGACATCATAAAAACTGATAGAGGAAAATATTGGTGACAAGGATAATTTCGGTGAAGAGAAATAATGTTTTATAAAACAAAAAAATATAATTAACATTTTGATAATAAGTAAATTGAATTAACACTTACTGTCAATCCTTTGCATAAATTTTTTCTCATTGTTACGCCTATTTCTTATCACTTAATGAACAATTCACAGAAGATTTATGTTCTATAACAAAACCGAATAAAAAACTTGTTAACTTTAAAGAAATAACACACGACATTAAAATTCAAAATAATCAAAAGAAAACAATCAATCAGCAACAAATGAAAGGATTATCGCGTCATTTCAAAGTAAAGGGATGGTTTCCCGTAATGTTGAAAGTGCTTCCATTTTTTTCATTGATATAAAAAGTGCTTTTCGACTTTTCAAATTGTTTTAGACCGTTTTTCCAGACAACAGTATTACCCAATCAAACAACAATGATTAAACTCACAGCCTCAACAACTACGTTAATGTCGTTAACATTGCAGACCTTGACTCCAAACATAAAGAGATAATAAATGAGATCTTAGTCTGCCACATCAAAGAAGTGACAGATCTCATTGTGCTTGATCCATCCAACGAAGGTCTAAATAATCACATTCTTTCAGAAAATGTAAAAAACTATGTAAAGAACAAACCCGTTATAACGAATTTGTAAGACTGTTACCCCTTCTATTATCTCAACTAAATTCGTTGTAATTTAAAGTGTACAATGGCAATGATTGGAAAAGTATCTGGCTTTCTATTGTCTTTGGTTAATTCACGTGAGTTTTGTGGATGAGGGTTCGTGGTTTCAGTGGTTATCATTTATTTTTATTATTGAAGTTTTTTTATTAAAATCACCTTTTTTCATAAAAGCTTGAAAGTGTTATAAATAGAAAAACTGCAATTACAAGACTCGTTGAAGATGGATTTTTGAAAAGATTTAATAGAAATGAATGGGAAATGATTGAAACGCTTTTATATTTTTAACCGAAGTTAAAAAATTTACATATAGAGTGGGGAGTGAAAATTCGGTTTTAATTAATCATGTAATACCAAGTGTTGTATAATTGTTCAGAAAATTTAACACTTATTTGAAGAGTAATGGTATTAACGTATTTTTTTAAAAAAAGGATGGAGATAGTCACGATATACCAAATTTTGAAGGAAATATTCTTTTATTTGAACATGAAAACGACCGTTATAAAATGGTCAACAATGTTAGAAAAATAATTGTCACAGTGACATTATAAACGAAGAGTGCATATTCGCCTCTAATAGCAAGCAGAAACAATTGAAAGAACACAAACAAAATGATTTTGGTTTTTATTTGTTCGTTTTTAATTTAGTAATATATTACAATAATATTTTAATTATAAATTATGGTACAAAAACAAAAAATATAATAATTTCTTTATTATAAAATTATAATAATTTAAAATGTTAAAGAGTGTTAACGTGATAGGGCGTATCCACACGGATATGGTGAATCCCTGCGGATTGGAATATTTTGTGTGGATAGCCTCTTATTTTTTTGTCGAAAAAATTCAAATATTCGTTTTAAACCATATGTTATGATTTTATAAAATATTAATTGTTATTTATAATCATTTATGGGACAAAAATGATACACAAACATGAATACCCCCATAAGGAGTATTTCCAATTTTTGCAATAATTTCATAGTAAGAAAAAACGCTATTTTCAGCCTTTTTTGGAGTGGTAAAATAAGTATAGAATAAAATGAACAAATAAAATAACTAACATTATTTACGTGTATTATCCCGTTTATTTGATATATGTAACACTATTTTTTCGTTTTTTAATTGAAAAAACATTTCAAAAGTGATTTATGGGATTAAAATTAGGGAAATTTCCCGTTTTTTGCATTAAAAAACATTTATTTTAAATATCAATTAACAATTATATTATTTAATTGTTAATCGTGGCTCAAAAATGCATTTATTATCACTTTTTATTAATAGTATTGTTATTTATATAAACACTCCATTAGTTTATTATTTTAATAGTAATCTTTGAAAATTGAAATTTGTTAAATAAAGTTCCTTTAGTTGGCGCAAATTATACATATAAAGACGGGTTTTACATCCTAAATATTATTCTGGTTTTGTTGAAAATGTTAAAGACAAAGGTTTTATGTCTAAACATAAACTATTAATTAATAACAATAAATTATATTACAATAGTACATTAGTTATTTACATAAAAATGACAGAATAATCACAAAACAAATACTATTAACATAGTTAAATAGTATTATAATTTTTACAATAAAAACGTTAAAAAGTTAAATGGCAAATTACCACATTGTAACCATAAGTTTTTTTTATGTTATTAAAAAATCATAACAATACATATTAATTAAAATAGAAACATACGGAAAATACCAACAAAAACCATCAAAAAATACAAGTCATGTTACTCATTACATTTGACATGTAATAATAAAGATTGTCTATCTGTATTTACCATCCACATTTTTCAACCTATCCACAGTAAACTATGCCATTCTATTTTATGACAAATTATATGTTATTTTATAAATTATTCAATTTCAATATTTTTTTGATTAAAAATAAACTGTTTTTCAAAAGTCGGTACTGTCATATTTTTAGAACTTCCTAAAGTCCCGTTTTTTATTTTCGTTTTTTCCTAAAAAAATAAAAAACAAAAAATCGAAAGTACCGACTTTATTTTGAAAAAATACCAATCCCGTTCAATTATTTTCGTACAAATTCAAGAAAATGTTGGAATATTAGCCATCTTTTTCCAAAAAACCCGATCCCGTTATTTGATTTGACCATAAATCGATACTTCGCAACATATACACAGCATTGTTGACCTAAAAGCACAACAATTAACGTTTAAGTGAATTGGGATGGTGTTGTTTGTGTCGAGTTTTAACTAAATATTACTCTCGTTAAAATTTAATTGAAATTTAAAACAAACTGTGGTTATCTTCTTAAAATAAAAAATAATGAAATAAAGAGTTCCAAAAACACCAAATAAATTATAGCAAATGTTTGATAATTTTGACAGGCATAAGCCAAAGTTGTCAAAGGGCAACACTAGAAAAATAATACAAAATAACAATAATGTTTTGTTATTGGATATTTTAAAAAAGATGTTCTCACTGAAATGCTCAAAAAGAATGTCGACTTTTTAAAAAACAACGAAGATAAGTTATCAAATCATTTTGTCATTTTTATTGTTCTTGTGACAACACTATTAAGCATACTAATCTTCGAACTAAGCTTTTGTTTTGTGAATATTTCATTAATTAATGAAATGTTTGATAATGAAAAAGATTGACATTAAGTTTATTTGCTTTTGACAAAAATGCACTTTTGGGATCATTCGTATGTTTTTCTGAAACAAAAATCCCGTTATTTCAAATTTTATATGGAATTTTTTAATGCTTAAAAATTCTTCAAGTAAAAAAATATTTTTTGAAGACTGTTTTTCTCTTTTTAACTTGGAAAAAATAAGCGATTTTATTACAAAAAAATGATTCCCAAAAATAATAAACAAAATAAATGCAAACAATCGGGACACCTCAGTACCTACTTTTGAAAAACAGTTTAGTTTAAACAATTTGTTAATTAAACCATCGTTAATTAATAAAAAACTTTAGTGTTAAATTTTTAACAAAAATATTTTTTTTGCGGCAAATTCATTTAAATGGTAAAAGTAAAAGATGACTTTTACTAAAAAGAAAATTTGTTTTTTCTGTTTTGACTTTCAAAAAATTCGCTTTTTTATTAATTCGGTCCAAAAAACGTATTTTTTTGTAAACTCTTATGCAAATTTAATCGCAATTACAACAAAAACATGTAAGATTTCCAAAGCCATCTTTATAAAAGTGGTCTATCACGTTAACACTCTTAAATAATGTCATAATTATAATATATTATATAATCATTATTAAATTTACTAAGATTAAATTAATTCTTAATCTACACTAAGATGTAAAATTATAATATCGTTGTATTTTTTTGCTTTACGAAATTTTTAAAATATGAGAAAATAAACAAATGAATATGTGTCTACATTAAAATTAAAAAAATAAATTATTTTAAATAGTATAATATTTTATATTTTTTTAGTTTATAGAATAAATTTACAAAAAAATAGTGTTGATTGTTTTGAAATAAACGACTTACAAAATACCTTGAAAATACTTCCGCCCTAAATATGAACAGTCGATTGTTCAACAACAAAAAAATGTTGTGGTTTTATTCTTTTTGTTATAAAAATAAAAAAACAGTAAATCAATCAAACTTTTAGAAGTATTAAGAATATTCATTTTTGTATATATTATATTTTGTTTAAAAAATAACCAATCATAGCGAACCTCATTGTTCTAGCATCCCCTTATTTCCCCTACTGTATTTTATTTTTAAAAGTATAAATTACAATAATTATAATATATATGTTAATTTGATTATATTGTGAATTTCTATTACACACAATCACTACACAATTTTTAATAATTTTGACAATTAAATAATTCGACAATTATTAAAATTGTCGAATTACACACTTTAAAGATGTTATTGTTATTTGTCATAATATATAAGCATTTTTAAAACTTATAATTTCAGACGTTCGCATTATTACTACTCACAGTTGCTTCTGCTAAATATTTAATTAGTGCTGCTGGTTATTCTGTTATTATATATAAAGATGGACAATGCTATTACAATGGAGATAATACTTATTGTAAATATGTTGAAGAAGGAGATAATATACAATCATACAAATCGTCCACATGCGGTAATTGGATTAAAGATGCAGTTATCTCAAAAGGCGCAAATGCCGTGGTACAAGATGATTTACCCGAGTATTATTACATGTATTATGAATACAAGGATGCCAAAGATTGTATTTTCAGTGAAAAAGATGCACATCCAATTGAGTACCCATATTCTGAATGTACCCAAGTGGGTGATACAAATTCAGAAAAGGCCAGTATAGCGGATGGAAAAGTTAACACTGCTTATTACGGCACAAAAGATTGCTCAGGAACTGCAATTAAAGAATATGAACCAGTTGAACTTGAAAAATGTTTATCAAATAATGGATTATCATACGCTATGTATTCGGAAGGTGAGTTTGAGGTATTTGTCATGCTTGATTTATTTATTGCATGCTTGCTCTAAATAATTGCTAATCCATTTTTGGGTATTTATTTATTATCGACATATGAAAAACAAACGTTTAATATGATATATTTTGATTGGACTTCAAGTCCGTCACTTAATTGAGTATTAAAAACGCAACATCATAACTATTGTTTATTTTTGTGGTGATAATTATTTTAAAATATTAATAGGTTATATAGATATTATTATGTGTTTTTAATTTTACATGTAAACACATTAATTAATAATGTCATTTTAAAAAGCTTTTATTTCAAAAATAAAATAATTAAAAATATTACTTTTTCGACAATAAAAGTAAGGTTGACGTAAAATTATTTTACTGTTAAATTTTTCATTTTGGTATAAAAATATAAATTTTACCTTGGTAAATCTTTTAGCTCCAGCTGTTTTTTCTTCACTTTTTTAAATACAGTTAACGGAAAAAGTGGGATGCTGCGAAAAGGGGGATGCTCATCTTAATATTAACCAATTTAATATTATTAATAATAAATAATTAATATTAATTTATTCGGTTTTTTCATTTTATTATTTTTTTGATTAATATTTTATATTAAAATTAATAGTAATTTTATTGTTTTTCAATTGAAATTAACCAATAGTTACGAGCATCCTCCTTTCTCGAGCATCCCCATATTTCCTCTTACTGTAATACATATTTGGTTATTTATTTAGTCAATAAAATAATAATGAAATCAATTATTTATTATTTTTATGTTTTTAAAAAAGCAAAAAAAAGAATGTTGTGTGTAATTTTTAAAATTTGTAACAAACAACAATAAATATGTAAAATACACATGAGTTTAAATATAATCACCAGACAAAATATCAATTTAAAGCCAATTTACACGATCTTTAAATTTGTATATTTCATAAAA